TTTGACTTTGAGGTTTTGCAATTGCATATATAGGTTCAGAAGTCAAAATTCTATATAGAAATGAGGTAAAAGTGCATACGGCATCACACTGTATCTCCTGTCATAAGAATGGCTGTATTTGTAGAAAATGTTGATATTAAAAGGTTAATTTTTTTAGGCTTTATAGGAAGTCTACATTATAATGGATGGAGAAATTAGTGAGCACACCAAAAAGGTGCCCGCTGAAGGTGTGGGACAGAAATATTACTGTTCTTATAAAGATTCCATATTAATTTGAGGTGGGAGAGAGGGAAGAAATGAAAGAAGGGGAAATTTGGACAGGGCATTTCTGGTCTAAAAGTTAAAATGAAATTAAAAAATTGAAGCCCTCTGTGCTATGTATAGTTTTACCTTTTATCAGTTTTATTTAATGTCTTAATATTCATCTGTATTTTGGAGCACAACCTATATAACTATTTGGTGCTCCAAGCCAGTAAGCTGCTAAAGTACTTCTGAGATCTTCTATTGAAGTAACGAAGGCTACTGTCTGGAAAAGTTAACTGTGAGTCCTACTGTGTAACTGAATCATGTCTGCCTTGGTTTTTCACTTCAGATTTTCTGTGCAACACCTCTGAGAAAAAGAAACTGGTACTCATTTGCGGAGGCACTACGTAATGGTGCAGTAGTAGCTGAATATGGCTCTTCAAAGTGGTACCTTTGGCACTGCAATTAGGGATTTGCATTTAAAATTACTGTCGGCACTGTAATTTTGCATATCAATATGCATAGTGAACACATCTTTTAAGAATTTAAACCACTCTGCTGCACTACATTCCTATTGCCCCCATTCTGCTAATGATAACTGAGCACATCAGGACACCTAAGTAATGTCTGTTCTCAATAGGTGGTGTCAACTGCTGTTTTCAGAGCAGCACATTTGTTTTCTCTAAGTTAAGATTAAGTTAACTATGAAGTTTCAACGCTTGTTTTACAGTCCCTGCCTGCAGTGTAATACTTGCACTCCTAGTTGTAGGATTGCCCTCTGACATCAAGGAAAAACCATCTGCACACAAATACATATTTAATTTGTTCAGATTGGCAATTGTTTCTTGGGGCAGGTTGCTTGGTTTCATGTGAGGCTTTACAAAAGACACCCTGATTGTTCACTTATTTTGTAAATTATGCCAACAGCTATGCTTGTCAAGCACCAGGGCTGAGTTCACATCTGGAAAAGAATATGTAGTTTTAAATTCCCTGGTTTGCAGCCATTCTCTTTCAAAGTAATGGCATTTTTTTCTGTATGTAGCAATGAATCCAGCATACATTTTTAAAAAGGTTTGGTCTTGTTGGGTTTTTTTTTTAAAAAAAAAAAAAGTAAATCTTTGTTTAACAAGATAGAGAAGACCCACAAGGTAGAGAAGTCCTGGGTTTTTGGGGGGTAGGGTTGTTACATCCTGGCCAAAAGTATGCAGGACAGCATACTTTTTTCCCACAGAAAATCTGGGAGAAAGCCATTAGTGAATGAAGCAAAATGATAACATAGTCATAATAAACCTAGGAAAGCTTTCTGCAAAGTCCAAGCTGTTAAGTTTGCTCAGAATATAGGCATTCTGGCCATCTCAAACTTCCCCCATCCTCTTTTCTGGCCAGGATCCTTCTAGCCCCAGACTATGATGTGTTAACCCCTCTCTCTCCTGCCAAGTGTACTCTTTTTTTTTCATCCTTTGCTTGCTTCTTGCTTCCCACCCGTTCCACGTGTGCCCAGATGCTCACTCCAAAGCCACCTCCTTGTCCCCCATGTGCAGCAGCGATGCAAGAATCCTGCGGCAAGTGCTGCTGGCTTCTCTCGCTCCCTCCTTTGCCCAGGAAGCTACTGGAGGTAGCCGCTCTTACCACAGGGCGTTTTGCTTCTTTCCGAAACTGAGATTTCAAAGGCAGTAAATGGTACATCTTGGGTAACATGGCAGCATCTTCCTGGGCACCCAGGAAAACTTGCTTTCGTAATAGGTAATATAAAGCATACTTTCCTGCAATATATTGCAGGAAAGGCCAATCTCTTCTGCCCTGACCCCTACTGTGAGCAGGGCTGAGGCCGAATGTCGGGGCAAATTCTGGATCCCTGACAGCAATATCAAAACTTTCATTCCTTTAGAAGAATTTGTAGTATGTGATCTCTAGATGGAGCCTCCTACCATCGAGTTCCATTTGAAAAGTAAGAGATGAAATATTTTACTAGCGGAATCTCTCAAGTGTGAGTATTTTTCAGACCACATTTTTAGCCTCTTATGAGTATTGATAAATGTCTTCTGGCTTGAATACCCATTTTGTCTGAAAACGTTATGATGGGGGAGAAATAATAATTTCTGGGTTTATAGCGCCTTTCAGGTGTAAGGCACTTCTGCACAGATTAGATAGGTAATTAACAAATATATTTTTCAGTAAACTAAGTTATTAAGTATTTTTCAGACCACATTTTTAGCCTCTTATGAGTATTGATAAATGTCTTCTGGCTTGAATACCCATTTTGTCTGAAAACGTTATGATGGGGGAGAAATAATAATTTCTGGGTTTATAGCGCCTTTCAGGTGTAAGGCACTTCTGCACAGATTAGATAGGTAATTAACAAATATATTTTTCAGTAAACTAAGTTATTAACCCCCCCAAAGGCTTATCTCAGCTGTTCTGGAAAGCAAGATGGGGGGGAGGTCCAGTCTTTTGTGCATCCATGTGAAACCTATAAAATTAGTATTATAAAATATTATGGTTTTAATACTCATAGAAGATTCACATCCTTACCTGGTTTAAGAAACAAAAAATGTAACAGCAGAAGGTCCTCAATACTAGTCCACTTATTTGAAAGTGAACTGCTAATTAATGATTTTCACATAACACCTTGGGATATATTTTATTTCCTTTGCAGAGTTTAACCCTTGACTGTCTATTAACAAATGTACTTCCCTTTTCTGTGCTATTTATTTAAGAAACAATATTGGCTAGTGTATTACAGGTCTTTAGTAGTCTGCAAAAGAGCTTGAAGCTGATAGTGCTGGCTAAATGGTGCAAAAAAAGAACGATACATCACTGAAAAGATAAATATACTCAACTGGTGTTTCAAACTTTTGTGTGAGACCACTATAAACTTGCAGTAGTTCTTGAAGTAGTTAAATATTTAGCTTAAGATGTGCAAACTTTATAAGATGAACAGTTAAGTAAACACTTTGTACTTTCATTGATTAATTAATCCTTTCTTGAGGTAAGGATGCTTTCACTTTACTTAGATTTTGAACCAGGGTATTGACGTACTGAACTATAACCATTCCAAGTGGGTTTCTGTCAACGGGACTTTTGTTAATGTGTTTTGAGCCTCCCTTCATGCCTTGCCTTTGCTGCATAGAGTGATCGGTATCAAGGGATACCAAGCTAAAAAAGACACAAACATCCACGGAGAGAGGATGACTGAGCAAGGAGGTTTCCCACGGCATGTAATTTTTTTCCTCCCTCCGGAGACAAGGCTCCAATGGCTTCAAACAGTAAGTTATCTGACAAAGGCACAGTGATAGAAAAGCAGATAGCCTTTCTGGGCGGGGTAGGACTAAACACCACAGTAATTCACTGGTCTTCGAATATTTTGCTCCTGCTTCCAAATGGGAGCTTATAAGATCTTTTCTGAACCTGTATTTCTTTTTTCTTTTAACTAAAAACTGTTCATCTTTCCTTAAAGACTTGTCTTTATTTAAAAGTAAAGGGAAAACCAAACCAAACCAAAAAAAACCCAAAACAAACCCCAAAGCTTATTAAAAGTAGCCAATAAGTAATGGATAAACAAATAATAATTTGGAAACACTTTACCATTATATCTATCCATATTTTTTTTATATATATGTTTATATATACACATACATTTAAAAATATTTAAACTTATAAACGTTTTTAAACTTTTTCTTAGACTTTTTAACACTGTAATGATTTTAATACTAAAGAAGTTTTGCTGTGAATTGTTCCAGATTACTACTTTACTACTTTGGTCACTTCTGAAATCAAGCAATTCTCCTGAAACCTCTTTTCTTGCACAGCATAGAAGTTATTGGAAAACAGCAGATGTAAGGGGTTCATACTGGAGCTTTTATTGGGAACGTTGGAGTCTACATGGTTTCCCACCTTCAGGTGGTAACCAAGCAGTTAAGTAAGTTTTGCACGTTTGTTGTTTTGTGGTCACAGTTTGATAAGATTTTATAACGTTCCCTGGAACAATTAGGTTTGAATCCTGACAATCCTGGGATGCTGCTTCCACCTGCTCAGGTGGCTCGTTGTCAAAGATTATTCCACTTTTTGTAGGAGAAAAGACTTTTTATTCTTCTGTATTAATGTAGTTGCTGGCATCCTCAATTTCTTAGTCGCAGCTCATCCAACAGTTAACAGCATTTCATCTTGCCTAACGGTTTGTAAAGTTCATTAGGTCCTTGGTTATCGGGTGCCTGATAAAGATGCACTTAAATAATTACAGATTGGTAGTCTGTTCAAAAGTTTAATCGGCTCATAATTAAAAAATTGGCTGTGCTCAATTTCCAGCTATTAGTTCTTGTTATATCTTTCCCTACTTGCTTTGGAAACGATGTCTTTTCCCTCGGAAGGTACTTGTGTGTAATTAAACTGCCTTTCAAACCACCTTGTATGTGCTGAAAGAGCATATGGCGAAGAGGCCTCTGTCCATGGGTTTTGGCGGTTGCACAGCTGCCAGATAAATCGGATCAGCCCGCTTGTGGGATGATGGAAGGCTAGGGATTTGGTTGTTTTGTGTTTTTTTTTTTTCCTTTCTTTCGGTTGATTAACCTTCTGCTAATTGCCAGTATCCACCTTACCCTGAGGCTCTGAGAACCTCAGGTGACGTGAGAGGGCGAGCAGAAGCCACCCGGGAGCAGCCTTCCTCCGATTCCCGGTGCCTTTGGGTACCAGAGGCGCGGTTCAGCGCCGGCCATCGCCTCCCAAGTCCTTTCCGAGCCGGGAATTCCTCGGGTCGCCGCATGCGGGAGTACCTGCCATTCCCGGCGGGGATGCCTGACATTTGCATACATTTGCATGTATCGCTTTACTCTCTCTACCACGGGACCGCCTGGCGGCCCTGCCCTCCGCATCTGCTCTTCCACCCATCTTCTTATCAGACAGAAATGTTATCGACGCTGACTTTAGATTGCCTTTCCCGTAATTCCTTAAGTGGGGAAGAGCGTTCAGCTCCACCCCCCTTGTTGGCAGGAGCCCGTTATCAGCCTTTCCGCCGTTCTTAATCCGTCTGTCGGGTTTTTGGTGCTGCACCGCGGCCGCGCCTTTCAACGCCAAGTTTAACAGCTCCCTGCGGTTACGGACCATTTAAGTTTGCCCCAAAAAGACATAGACGGCGGGGAAGTGGGGATG